AGACTTATCTGCAGGGTGCTGCTCTCCATGCTGCCCAGCTGCATTCCTGGCCAGATGCATGCATGCAGCTACGCATACAAATGCAGTGTCTGGGGGCCTCAGCCAGAAGGCATATTTATCAGTGAACATTGTCAGCTACATCGATAGATAAAAGCTGATAGCCAATAATGTTAATTTTCCTTTTATTGATGCCAGTCTGGTATGCAACTGATATGCAACAGTTCACCTCTAACAGTAATAAGTTTACTATGGCTGCTTGCCTGGGGAGATCCAGCTGGACTGTTATCCACTGAGGTAGAAGAACGTTTTTTCTTATGAACAAAGTGTTTTCGTCTCTTCCTCCTCTTATTTGGTTTCTTCATGTCTGCTTCCAGATTACTGTGAACACCTGGTGGTCTGCCAATCCTTTTGTTTCTCCTTTTCCCATAATAGTGTGCTGGAATGGCAAAAGAAAAGATCATTTAGTTAGGGCGGCTAGGAGCTGGAACCAACTTCCAAGGGAGGTGGTGCTGGCCCCTACCCTGGGGGTCTTTAAGAAGAGGCTGGATGCCTACCTGGCTGGACTCATTTGAGTCCCGTTTTTGTTTTTAGGGTTTTTTGTTGTTCTCCCGCCCTGGCGGGGGGTCGGGCTAGAAGATCTATTAGGTCCCTTCCGACCCTAAAACTATGAAACTATGAATTTGCTTAATGTGTTATATAATGCAACGTTATCATCACTAGTTATTTGTCAGCCCCCAGGAAGAGACAATCAACATGAGAAGGTTTTCCAATAGAAAACTCAACTGCAAAATTTCAACATGAATGAGTCTATATTCTTTCCTTCAATAAAATGTACCAGGTGAGAGCTTATGAATACAGTTTTATTCACTCAAAGGGGATTTAAATTCCTCTACCTCTGAAAAAGGGCCAGTTTTTGCATAAAATGCCATAGGTTATAGAATGGCAGATTTGGGTGGTGCAGCTTGTAGTGGTACAGTATTTGAGTGGTGCAGTATTTTGCAGACTGGTGACCTGTACAGATATCTGGAGTTGATACATGATTGGTTCTCACTTTGTCCAGATGACCACATAAATTAATGCCCCTCTCCCCCAGCCCTCCCTCCAAAAGGAGACAGTTGTTCTCTAGTAGAATAATTTAGTTAGTCTGTAAGATACCACTCTATCCTGCAGCTAACTATCTCTCTGCTCAGGAATAATAAAGAGTGAAACACTTCAAAATATTCTGGAGTCTGTTATATCCCAGAGATTACTGGCAGGAGAAAAATAAAACATTAGACATAACATGTAACTAATAAATACCGTATGTTTACGTAGTACTATTATTCACTATGAAATAACCATATCTTTGGGTAAAAAACTGATTATGTAAGTACCTTCATAATAATTTACCACAATAAATTATTTGTAATATATCTTCACAATCAGTTTTGATCAAAAGCACCATCTAAACCAATGTCATTACTATCGTTAAAAAGAAAACTGATGTTTTAACTCACTGTATTTAGTCTTTGTCAGGACTGAGCAGTTCTCTGAACACTTATCTAGCACCATCTGGGGGCCGAAGAGGTTTGGACAGCACTCCAGTTTGATGCAAGTTTTCCTGCAGAAATCTGCCACCCGATCTGCTGTTCTCACAACCTCCACAATGGCACGGTAACTCTTCCCTTTGTATCTGCCATAGGGAATAAATGATCATAAACCATCTGGTTCTACTACTGCAATAAAGGTGCAAAATTGAAAATTATTTAACATCAAACATTATATTCTTTTTCAGGATAAATGTAAAGAATTTAGTGTTGGTGAAAGACTAGGAATTGGCAGTCATTTGAATCAAAATTCTCTCATTAGTAACAAAACATGACAGATGTCCACATAATAAACATTAACAAGCCAAGACAGAAGAGACATTTGGGTTGCAGTGCCAAACATTACCATAATCCACTATTATAAATGTAATTAGGGATCTACTTAAATCATGCCAAAGTGATGGGAAATTTGTGGGCTGCTTACAGTGCCTTTTTCATGGCAAGCCCTCCCCTTCAATTGGCTGAGGGACCCACCTCTTGCTGTGGATTGGCCAAGAGGACTGCCTTTTGTGCAGTCCTGCCCCTCACCACTGATTGGTAAAGGGCTGCCCTTCACAATTTACTAGTTTCATAGACGTTAGGGTTGGAAGGGACCTATTAGATCATCAAGTCCGACCCCCTGCCCCAGGCAGGAAAGATTGCTGGGGTCAGATGACCCCAGCCAGGTGTCTGTGCAATCTCCTTTTAAATACCTCCAAGGAAGGGGACAGCACCACCTCCCTTGGAAGTGTATTGCATATTTTGGTATCCCTCACTGTAAATAATTTTTTCCTGATGTCCAGTCTGAATTTGTTCTTTCTGTTTGTGGCCATTATTTCTAGTTACCCCAATGGGAACCCTGTTAAACATCATTTCCCCTATTTCTTGCTGACCCCCCTGATGAGTTTGTAGGCAGCCACTAGATCACCTGTCAGCCTCCTCTTATGGAGGCTGAAGAGGTTCAGGTCTCCCAATTGGTTCACATAGGGTTTTTTATGTAGGCCTTTGACTTTTATGTGGCCCTCCTCTGAACTCTCTCTAGGCCATCCACATCCCTCCTGAAGTGCGGTGCCCAAAACTGGACGCAGTACTCCAGCTCCGGCCTGACCAATGCCACCCTAGAAAGGGTGCAGTTAGCTTTACTTATTACCTCATCACACTGGTGACTCATGTTCATTTTGGAGTCAACTTCGAGATCCCTGCTATACCAGTATTTACTAAGGATCCCTAAGAACAACAATCTTGCAGTTAGGATACTGCCCCTACCATGTGAAACAATTGCTGGAAAGGGTAGTGAATTTCTCAATAGTCTGCACAGCCATCCCTGCTGTGATGGATGACTGTGTGTAATAATTATAACACACTACTCTAAATTATTTCCTTTCTCTGAGTAGATTTACATAAATACTTCCAGGGGCTTTTTATAACTATATCCAAGTATATAGGAATCCTGCAATGCAGAAAAGTATGTCCATGTTATGGATGGAGAACTGATGCAATTACAGCTCAAAGTTGTATTGTTAGTTTTACAGCAGAGCTGACCTCTTGGGTCCAAGTCCAGTGCTTTAATTACAGAACCATCACACTGCCTCACAAGGCAGTTAACAACCTGACTCAAAAATACCATTCTTTTTTACTAACATGATAATAGTGTTCCTTCATCCCAGTTCTCTCTCAGCAATATCTATATTGTGGATTAACAAAACTCATCAAAACGCTGAGCAACACATTAAGGGGCTAAAAAGTCAAACAGAATCCTAACCCAGTCCCTGTTTGAGCCTTACTAAAGCTCAATAGATAAGAGATAATATTTAAACGGGGAACTGTTTTCATGTACAGAAATTGGAAGGTGATGACAGCCTGAGAACCTTCTCTGACAGATCTGTTAACAGTTAAAATGCTGATACTATCTTCAGTCCTATTACAAAGCTTTTACCTTTTCTCTGCTGGTCTAACAGTTGCATCTGCCATGTTGCACTAATTACTGTAGTATTACTCCATTTAAAACAAAGCAGCATCAGAGCCCACCTGACACATGAGAGGGTCAGAAGCACTCTACTGGATGTTCCAGAAAAAAAATACATTAATTTGGGGATTACATTTTGCAACATCCTTATGGACTTAAACTGCATAAAGTTCTGAAAGGTAAATTCTTAAGCAAAATGTAGTTTGTAAAAAAGAGATTACTGCTGGTTGTAAATTAATTAGATATAGGGTAGAGAATTTACTTTGCCTTCAGAGTCTCTCCATGCCCAAGCCATGCAGCTTCTTCATCCAGCTGGAGCTCTCGAAGGACACGGCTGGGTTTGTAGGCTGCATTGATCAATAAAGTGAGAACCTGCAAATGGAAATGAATAAAAAGGGGTGAAAAAAAACAATTAGGTTATGCTAGGTTAGAACAGCAGATTAATTCTATTCATCTGCATCAAACTTTCAGCATATACTCAGTCACAGTGGGATTATAGAAAAATCATAACTGCCAACATGAAGAAAAACATATCAAGTACAGACAGAAAATGGAGTCATGCCAAGCCTTAAGAACTAACTACTGAGAGGTTACTGATTCTAGCAGATCTCAGCTTTTCTTGCAGCTTCAGTAGTCTTACCTCATATCACCTAATTTAATTACAGAGTAGATACTGCAAAGCTCATACAACTAATGTTGCTAATGCCAGCAACATTTTGCTGCTGGAATGTGTAATGCATCTCTGAGTTTTTCCTCTAGAGACTGAGTGACACTCAAAGGGCTGCCTCATGTACTCCATGTCTGCTTGTGTCCATAACCTTGATAAATGTGAGCAGTTTAATCTGGATTCTGGACTGCTTCAGAATCCATGCCCAACCTCTTCTGAAACACTGGGCTTTTTATTATAGAAATAAAGTGACACTCCAATTAACAAATTAATAAGAGAATGGCCCCTCACACATTATCTTTAGGATGTGATTAACATGTTAAATCAGCCTCTAAATAGTAACCTAGCCATACATGCAAGTCAATTTAAGGCACGGTCATACAGTAAATGAGCCAGAAAGTTATTCCACATAAAATGAATAACAACTTTGTGGCTTGTATGTGTCACGTCTTAAATTGAACACGTAGCCTCATTTCAAAGAGGTATCAGTGTACAGGAAGCCCAGCACTGGGCTGCTGCAGTCCAGTGCAAGGACCTTCATGCACTGAGAGCTGTATAAACTCCATGTAGCACCTAGCTGGACAGCACACGGGGACCACTGCATTGGACCATAGCCCCGTGCTGGGCTCTCCCTATGCTGCATGGCATACAGGATTTGAGTGATACCAGGCTGCCACAGCCTGATGCTGCGCTACCCAGTTGCAGGATGCTATCAAGTCCCATGTGCTGCTATCAACGCCTGTGTCCCACTCGGCTGGGCTGCACATAGGGCTTATACAATTCCCAGTGCACAGAAAGCCTAGCATCAGATTGTGGCAGTTTGGTGCTGGGCTCCCAGTGTGCTGAGCTGACTGGCAGCTGGGGTCAGGGACCATTTTGGTTCCTGGTCCTGACTGACAGTCAGCTGATTTGCTACATCTTGCTGGACTCTTGATCTGGGCCCCTGCACCAAAAGTATGCTGTAATCCCCGATCTCAAAATCACACACCTTGCCATACATGTGTGGCATGATTGTTTGGATTGAGGATTAGATGCCATCACATCTTTAAAGCGAATGTCTCTTGGGGCCAGTCATACAACAGAGGCACCTTCTACAATCTGAGGTTTCCTCCAAGGGTATGTACACATGCACATTTGCAGCCATTTCTAAAAGGGAATGATTCAAAAGTACTGTTGCATTCTAACAGTTACATGTGGGCTAACTAGGAACAATGAAAATGTAGCACGACCATCCTAACTTTAACACTGAATGACACAGTTGCTGATGTCACATGCTTCAGATGATGGCAAGTAACTTTTCTGCTACCCCAATAATGCTACCTGGTCAACTAGGCAATATACCGAACTCCTCCCAAAAGCCCATTGTGAACAATTTCACATAAAGTGCACAATCTGATTATCTACCATGCAAGTTTATTGATATTCATAATTTATGCAATTATAAAAATAAAGCAACAATATTTAAACAATGGCCTAATCTTTCATTAACCAGAGTAAAAAAAAATGTATATCTTCACATACATATGTATATATAGATATATATTATTCTATCAAAAGCGTAAATAAGTTATGCATGCAAAACACTGGTTATCTATATAAGGATTAGGGCTGTACAAAATGGCACCGTTCCATTTCGACTTCAGTTTCGAGGTTTTGATGGAAGAGTGTTTCGTTTCAAATTTCATTTAGATTCGAAACAGCTATTCCATTTTGGTTCGTCGAAACAGTGATGCTGTTTTGACTTTTCACCCATTCACTATAATGAGGAAGCTCAAAACAGCCTCTCTTATCCAGCGGGCAGATGGGGGCGCACAACCTCGGGAGGGCTGTGGGGGTTGTGCCAGTCCTTTCAGAGCTGTGGGCCCCTGATCTGCCTGCCAGATGAGGGAGGGAAGCCAGGTGCTGCCGCCTGGGACTGGGGAGCTGGGAAAGGGAACTGAGCTAGATTGGGCTGAGTTCCTTTCCCCAGCCTGACTGTAGGGCTGGGGAGTGGATCAGGCTTAGTTCCCTTCCCCAGCCCAATCGCAGCGCTGGGGAGGGGAACTGAGCCTGGGCTCAGTTCCCCTCCCCTGCGCTGTGATTGGCTTCCCACAGCCCGGCGGTGAGAAGCAGGGAGAGCCAGGGCTGTGCTCCTGGTTGAGCCACATGGGACTGCAGAGCCACTGGAAGCACAACCCTGGTTCTCCCCTGTCTCCCAGCACCTGGCTGCTGGCTGCTTCAAAACTCGAAACGTTTGAAACTTTTGAAAGTTTCGACTAGCTTTGTTTTGTTTCAAGGCTGTTTTGAAGCCCTTCGTGTCAATCTGATTTCGCTGTTTTGAGCTCGAAATGAGTCAAAATAGTGTTGAATCAAAACAGTCGGCGAAATTTCGCACAGCCCTAATAAAGATGTATGTTTCTGTAGAAGTGCAGCTTGGTTGGTACTAACAATGGCTGAAGCAGTATGATAAAGGCATAACAAAGGCCTGTTGATCTGCCACCAATAGACAGAAAAATGCTCACAAGTTTTTCCTATGTGATTGTTATACATGTCACAACTTAAACTTTTTCAACAAACATAATAAGTGGTTGCCCCAAGAGTCTTGGTTTCTGACTTGTTTGCTAGAAAGTCTTTCCAGACAGCCTTTGTCTCCTTTCTTGTATTTAATGGAAAAAAGCAGAGGATTACGAGCAGACGTTGCATTTGTCCTGAGAGCGTCCATTTTCTCCTGGGACAAACTGATCGCTCAGATGTCCACTTCTGTTGTTCCAGGACAGACTTCAAGGTCTGTGGGACAAGACCAGCTAACAGTTTATTGCCAAGTGTGTCTGAATGGACCTCCTGAGATTGCATCATTGGATAAACAGCAGAAAAGCAGCACTATATTCAGCTGCTTACAGAACTCCTATTAGAAGGGCAATGTTTGTAATGCAAATCCTGCAACTTTTCTGTTTTGAGACAAACGCGGGCACAACTGGTCCCAAGAAAAATGTAACAGCTGCCCATACCCTTTGCTTAATTTACACTAATAGTACACTTAATTCATACACTGTTCTTTAGAGAGTTCTGATGAAAGCAGACAGAGAGGAAGGGGTATTTCCCATGAAAAATATTCATAATTTAATTTTAGATGATACATTGCACATCAGAATTCTGGTTTTTAGAAGGTTCAGCAAAATGTCATATGACAGCTCATGTCATATAAAAATGTTTCATTTTTATATGATTTGATATAAAATATTTTCTGAGAAACAGATCATTTTCTACAAGACACCAGGTTTACTTTCAGTCAGAACATAGAGTAGTCAGTTTGTTAGATTTTCCCTAAATTAGGCTGACTTTGGTATTTGCAAAAAATTAAAAAAATCCTTGAATATTATTATAATATTTACCCAATTAATTGACATTTTTTGCCAACTGTCATGAAACAGAAATTATATTTCATGAGTTTGACCATAAACATAGCAGACTGTAGAAGGAAACTTTCTGGGCTACTTTTCTTGGTTTAAAAATGAACTATTAAAATATTAAGAACTAGTTTCATATTATGGGGATTCAATGAAGGCCAAAGTATACCAGCAACAACTGGCTGTTTTCATAAGTGGCAATTCTAGTTTACTCTATATAAAACTAAGAAATGCAGTAGTAATGAGATAATTAGATCACTGGAAGATTAGAGACATCTTGCAATGACTCAAAACCACTCATAAACTACTCAATGACTCATACTTCATTTTAAAAAAGAAACTGAACTTGTAGCTCATTACCACTCATTTCCTATTATTTAGCAGTCTATTACTCATCTCTAACTAGAAAGATACTCAGGAGTTTAACATACAAAACTGCACACACAGCTCCACCCTCAGAACCACCTCACCTCTTTAAGAACAAGAACACAGTTTCCAGGTCCTACAGACTGAGGAAGCTCTGCAATTCTTCCTTTGTTGAGGTAAGGCCCTGAGAAGCACCGGTGATTGAAGTAGATCTTTGGGCAGCAGTACTTTCCATTAATTATCACTGAGAAATGAAAAGTAGCCAAAATTTAAATTACTTAGTGCCATTTCCCCATCCCTCTACCACCTCCCACAGAAAACAAAAAGCAAACAAACAAACAAAAAAAACCCTTTTAATTCTTGTAAGGCTTAATATTACTACAAGTTGTAGAAAAAAGGAAATGAAAAAAAATCTATATGAATTTATGGAGTTAAAATATCACTTCTGTAACTATAACTCCAGCTACTAGATGTTGCAGAAATGGACTTTTTGGGTGCCTATACACATGATGGAACTCTGCTCTGATGCATGATAATCAGCACGTGTTGGAGCAGACTCGATTAATTGAGTCTGCTGCAAGTCTGCTAGAGTGAGTTAATTAGCATGATCCAGGGGCCTCTGCATCTCATGTATTCAGTGTCCCTGCATTTCAAAATGGTTGTGGGGGCACTTTAACCAAAGCTCATCCAACGAGCTTTAGTTAAAGCATCCCCACCACCATTTTGAAGCATGGGACACTGAATACATGCAACACTGTAGGTGCGTTAATTAGAGTAGCTCTTGGCTGCTCTAATGAAAGCGCCTCCCCCCACCTCTTCTGCCCTGGAGCAAGTGTATAGATGCCCTTTGAATTTTACATGTGTATTTGTGCCTTGTATGCCTGCTGGCAATATCCCTATAATACAGTTAAGATGCGAGTCAGAAAACAAATCCAGTCATATGACCTTGCAATTAACCATGCATCTCTGACCACCTACCTCATGGGTTCTGGTCAGTGATCTATTTTTGGAGTTATTTCTAATATTTTAAGCAGCTCAGAAAAATATTAAAATGAATCAACAACAAAATATTTGCTCCTTTTTCTCTATAATATCAGTATTTTGAGGCCCAAGACAGGAAATATTTGACCCATGATAGATTTAAGGCTGGATAACTTATAACCGGGGATCTGGGTTTTCTTCTCACCATGAAAAAGCATGGTAACACCCAGATTTTTCTCCTTTTAAGGAGAAAAACCCAGATTTTCTTTTTTAAAGGAGAAAAATGCGGGAAACAGTGGGAAGAGTTCCAGGCTGCAAGGGCCTGGGGGGAGCAGGAGGAGGGTGGTCAGGTAGGGGTGCCATGTGCATGTATATGCACATGGCTGCCAGGCAGCCTGGAGAGCAGCTCCTGCAGGTAAGTCTGGTGGGAGTGGGGGCGGAGGGGAAGGGATTAAGGCCCCCATAGTAAAGAAGGGAGGGAGTTGGGTAGGGCTGGGGCTGCTGCCCAACTGGGGTGGTGCATGGGGCTTGGATCCTGGGGCTGGCAGAAGTAGGATGGAGCCGGGGCAGCTCACCTAGGGGGTAACAGGAGTGGGGATGGCTCCTCACTGCTGAGTGCACTCCTGGAGGAGGTATGGAAAACATATGCCCCCCAGATCTCTGCATGGGGTGGGGGTAGATGCGGGCTGTCTGCTGCAGGCTTGGGCTCCCCACTGTGCTGCCTTCCCCTGCAGCCTTCAAGGCCTGGTGGCCGGGATCCAGCACGGCAGGGCACAGCAGGGCGGGGAAGCTTAGTGCCACTGCTGGGAGTCCACATTGCCATGATGAAATGCCTCCTGTCCGCCCAGCAGTAGTGGGGGAGGGGGCACAAAGTTGTGCCCTTCACTGCTGCTGGATGGACAGGGGACACCTTGCCATGGCAATGTGGAACTCCCAGTGGCAGCAACAAGATTCCCTGCCCAGCTCTGCCCTGCTGTGCTGAGTCCCACCTGCTGAGCCATGGATGCCCTGGGGGAAGGCAGCAGGGCGGGAAGCCCAAGCCTGCAGTGGGCAGCCCACATCCACCCCCCATGATGGGTTCTGCTCTGGCCGTGCCGACCATGGGGGAGCAGGAGCTGGGCTCCACGCTCTGCTCCACTGCAGTAGCTCCTGCATCCCATGGGCAGCAGCCAGGGATCAGGTGCTTCTGTGGGGGACAGGGAGCTGCAGACTCAGGTCCCTGGCCCCATAGCATTGACAGCTGGGGGCTGCCTCCAGCAGGGCTGAGGGGGTGGGGAGTGATGGGTGTGGTGGGCCAGTAGGGGGAGCTCCTGCTCCCACCTCACTACATCCGCCCACCTTCTGGACTCCACGTGACTCCCCAGGGGCGCCTAATCCCTGGCAGACCCCCTTTCGAGCCCCACCGCAGAGTCCACGGGTAACACGCTGCCACCCCCCTGAGAGGGGACCTTCTAGGCTCTGCGTCCTCCGGGAAACACAGGCCTAATAGTCCTATGGGTACTTGACCCAATACAAGCACTTGGGGCACCTCCCCAAGTCGGGGGCCAAAAAGGATAGTCTCCCTTAGTCTGCAGACCTAAGGGGCCTCCTAGGTATAATTAAACCCACCCCTCAATAAGTCTCCTACACCAGTCACAAAGAAGAACTTTATTGGTTACAAAGGGTAGGGTTAGAATAGGGTAAGAGGTGGAGCACTATCAAGGGATTACCATTGAGCAAAACAGTCTGGCTGAGGTAGCCGTTTGATACGCAAATGCATCACTGTGAGATGACTAACTCTCTAGAAACACTTACAAGTATCATCTAGAAGATGGTAGAGATCTGGCTCGGAGATTTCCAGAGAGACAGCATTTCAGTTGGATCAGACTCTCTCCCTGTGTCCTGGTGTTTGGGCCATACTGGTAAAATGGCTTGGACCAGGCCCTTACATAGCCTTTCTGACCTCAGCAGCCCAGTCCAATAGAAGCCAGCAGTGTTAGCAACTAGCCAACCAATTTAAAAAGCATCACTGGTTACCTGGGCAGATGAGCAGGGGCTTTTCCCTCCCCCACTCAGGTGACCAGAGGGACCACACCCTAGGCACCAGGCTTTTGTTACACAGGCAGAGGGAGCAGGTTTCTCCCCTCCCTCAGGAATGTATCCAGCTCAGGTTACCCAAAGACATAGGGTAAAGGTATGTGTCTCTCTGCTGGGCCCATCCTTATCAAATTGTCACAGCGCAGGGACTTTGGGGAGAGACAAAGGTGGCTTTCTGCCACAAGGGGCACCAGTAGGGCCAGGGGGCTATGGCTGGGGAGCGAGTGGCACCAGCAGGGCTGGGGGTCAGGAGTGAGGGACAATGGCATGGGCAAGGCACTAGAGCTGCGTGAGGCTTTGGACCGTGCTTCAGATCTGGAGAAGCTTTGG